GTCTCCCTTTCTCTCTGCCCCCCTCTCTTTCTCTCATCTCGTCTCTCTCTCTCTCTCTCTCTCCCTCTCTGTCTCTCTCTCTCTCTGTCTCTCTCTTTCTCTTTCTCTCTGTGTGTGTCTCTGTGTATGTATGTATGTATGTATGTATGTATAGCATATCTACATGGGTAATCCTCTACTTACAACCACAACCGAGGCCGAAATTTCTGTTGTTAAGTGAGAAATTTGTTAAGTGAGTTTTGCCCCATTTTGCCACCGTTGTTAAAGTGAATCATTGCAGTCAATAAGTTCGTAATCTGGTCAAGTGAACCTGGCTTCCCCGTTTACTTTAGTTGTCACAAACGGGCATTGACATGATCTCGGGACACAGTAACGTGTTATAAGTCTGAATCCGTTGACAAGCACCTGAATTTTGATCATGTGATGGTGGGGATGCTGCAAAGGTTGGTAACTCTGAAAAACGGTTCTAAGTCACATTTTTTTCCAGTGTCATGGTAACTTTTGCACAGTCACTAAATGAACTGTTGCAAGTCAATTACCTATATGTGTGTTAGGTAAGTGTACACTTTTGAGAGCGGACAACAGAATTTCATTTTTAATGTGTGCCAGTGTACCCAGAGTAAAAAAAAACAACAGTAAAGGTTATCCCAAAAGTGCTTTTTTCAAGAGGCAACTGGACTTTCTGGATTTTCTTTGAAGACGTTTCGTTTCTCATCCAAGAAACTTCTTCAGCTCTGACTGGAGAGTGGGGAAAAGAAGGATCACCATCCAGTCAGAGCTGAAGAAGCTTCTTGCATGAGAAGCGAAATGTCTTCAAACAAAATCCAGAAATGTCAGCATTCCAAATATCAAACTCCAAGGCAAACATTTTCTTGAAGTTCCCTTTTATTGGAGTTGTCATATTGGCACATCTGGGAAAACCCAAATCCGAGAGTTCTGGGTTCTCCCTTCCCAATAGAAAGTCAAAGATCCAACCCCTGCACCCACCAGTCCATCACATGGTCCAATGAAACACCTCCCACCTGGAGGCATTCCTTGAGCCACTCCTTTCCAGGTGCAGAGTAACTTGTCCTTGACTTATAGAGAAGAATGTTGTGTCTAATCTTCTACCTCTCTATGAAATCCCCCCTCCCAATTTCCCGGGAGAGGGGGAAATGTGGCAGCCTCGAAACTTCTAAGTAAAATATGGCTTCCTTGGCTGACAGTCCAGTTGCCTCTTGAAAAAAGCACCTTTGGGACAACCATGACTTGGATGACTGAGAATCTCCATAATGTCAGGGTTCCGGCAATTGCCCTAATTAAATCGTGAGCCTCTAAGGCAAGCTTCAAACGAATCCAAAAGATTTATTAGGAGCAACATGCCGACATTAACCTAAATGAAGCTAACTCTGGAATAAGTAATTCACAGTCACCTGTGACCCTGTTTCTTCCCTTTCCCCGGTTTGTCATAAATCAGATTCTCCAACGAAGCACTTTCGGGCCGGGTGTCCTCAATCACATTCTCCAATTAAGGATTATCAATACCAGAAGATCTGGTAGCCTAGCTAAAATCTTTTTAAGATAAGGGTGGAAAGTACTTCTGGTTTTAAACTGCTGCATGCTGGCAGAACCACCTCTTCAGGACTTTGCAAAAGTACCGTCAAAGTGGGGGTGGATGGAGGGGTGGGCAATCTTCTCTCTACAAGGATGATGTTCTTCAGAGAAGGAGCCACCACTAAGAAGGCCCTTCTTGGTCCCGCTAGATCAGGTCTGTCAAAGACAGGGCCCGCAATAGGTCCCAAAGTGGCCCCCGTGTGGCCGTCCTGGAAATGGCGAGGGACCGTCCCCTGCTGCCCCGGGCCTGGCCATGCCCATCCCGGCACCTCAAGGGCAAACAAAATCCCAACACGGCCCACAACGGGATTGTGTTTGACACCCCTGCACTAAATTGACTCTCTTCGGAGAGGGGAGGGAAGCGTAAAATCCCCTTCCCACTCAGATGGGTTGGGCAGATAATGCCTGGGAAAAGCTGGTCCTTCAAACCTCAGGCAGCCCTCAGCTTAATGACCACAATTGTGTCCCAAAAGATCTGTTGCTAAGCGAGACCATTAAGTGAATTTTGACCCATTTTATGACCTTTCTCGCCACTGTTGTTAAGAGAATCCCTGCAGTTGTTCAGTTAAGTTACCCGGTCGTTAAAGTGAATCTGGCTTCCCCATTGACTCTGCTTGTCAGACAGTCGCAAAAGAGGATCGCGTGGCCGCCGAGGATGCTGCAACCGTCATAAATGTGACTCGGATGCCAAGCGCCTGGATTTTGATCCCGCGGCCATGGGGGTGGTGCAGCGGTCATAAGTGTGAAAAACACTCCTAAGTCCCTCATTTTCAATGCTGTGGTAACTTTTAAACGGTCAGAAAAGGAACTGGATGTAAGTTTAGAACCATCTGTACTTCATCCAAAGCCATTGGGTCCTTTCACAAAGAAAGAGAAAAATATTGGCAATATTTTCAAGGGTTTATTCTAAGAAGCAATGATGCTGGGTCAATTAAACCAGGAAAATAAAAGATTTGAGATTTTGAGTGATGGTAATTTTGATCCAGAAAATTGTGAAGAAACGGTTCTCCAAAAAAGTCGTGCTTTTTCGTTGGTTGAAAAAAACAGAGAAGGAAAGCAAAAATAATTGATCCCCCCCCCCCCCCCCAAAAAAAAAAAAAGGTGGCAGAGAGAAATTTGTTGCCTGTTCTCCTGCTTTTCTTCTTGTCCTAAGCAGGGTTGTTGTTTTTGCAGTTTTTATTGTGTTGTCTTTTTAAAAATATAATACATGTAGTCCTTGGCTAGCACTAATGATGTAACCTAGTTGGGTCATGAAATGTCTGCAAGACAACAAGCAAGCTCAGAGGACTCCTCTTCCTCCACCACCACTTCCTCTCCAAATACCTCACTCCCTTCTAACACTGATGAGGTTACCTAGTTGGGTCATGAAACGTCCCTAAGAAAACCACCAAGCTCAGAGATCACCAAGGACCCCATTGGTCTCCTCCTTCTCTACCTCTTGTCCGTTTATATACTAGTGGCTTGACCACCAACACTGCCAGGACAAGCCACCAATATACAAAGGATGAGCAAATCCCATTCCCTTCTAGCACTGATGATGTTCCCTAGTTTGGTAATGAAACGTCTGCAAGAAAACCATCAGGCTCAGAGAGCACCAAGGACCCCACACTCCTCCTCCTCTCCACATACCTCTGTCCCTCTAGCACTGATGATGTTACCTAGTTAGGTCATGAAACGTCTGCAAGAAAACAAGTAAGCTCAGAGAGCACCGAGGACCCCTCAGTCCTTGACTTCCGACCACAATTGAGCCCAAAGCTTCTGTTTTGTTACCCAACTAGGTAACATCATAGAAGGGACCGTGATGGAGTTTTGCCCCATTTTACGACCTTTCTTGCCACCGTTGTTAAGTGAATCCCCGCAGTTGTGAAGTAACACGGTTGTGTGAAGTGAATCCAGCTTCGCTCTTGACTTCACTCGTCAGGAGATCGCAAAAGGGGATCATGTGACCCTGGGACACTGCGACCGTCATAAATGTGACTCAGTTGCCAAGCTTGTCTGAAGCTTGACCCCCGTGCTGTGGGGAATGCTCTAATGGTCGTAAATGTGAAAAGCAGTCCTAAGTCCCTTTTTCACTGCCGCTGTAACTTTGAGTACTCAGTGAATAAACCATCGTAAGTAGAGGACCGCCTATAATTAAGTCCTAAAACCGCTGATAAAAGTTGTTTGTCCTGAAAGACTAACCATAAACTATTATGTGATTATTCTCCCTCATTAGTTTTATTGTTTTATTGATGAGGTTTTTATATTTCTGTAAGCTGCCTTTTGAGTTGCCATTTGTGAATAGGCGGCCATATAAATTTCCTAAAATAAAATATTTTTTTTAAAAAAACGAACACATTTAGCTTGGGGGAAATTAAAAGAACTTGGTAAAAGATCTAGGTATTAAGTACATTGAGAAAAGAGGAGGAAGAAAAACAGGTTGTCCTCAACTTATGACCACAATTGAGGGCCAGATTTCTGTTGCTAAGCGAGATATTTGTCCTATTATACACCCTTTCTTCCCCACGTTAAGCGAATCGCTACAGCTGATACCTTGTTTCCCCGAAAATAAGACCTTGTCTTCTTCTGCTTCTCCTTATTATTATTATTATTATACACAAAAACAACAGCGTACACAGCAAATGAGATGACTATGCTGGGTTTCGTATCACATAATCATTATTATTATTATTATTATTATTATTATTATTATTATTATTATTAT